TTTACTTATTCTGTTTACCATTATAGATTATCCTTTTAGTTTATTTCTTACTCTTGCTTTCTTAATTTGAACGGGATTGCGGGAAGGGATGTGGGTAGGGTATTCTGGATTGGGTATAAAATAGAAAAACTGATGGAAATGACCTGTATGCCAAATCTGTCTGTATGTAACATTTCACTGCATTTCTTTCAACAAAGTGTTCAATAAAGAGTGAACGATGCTGTCCTCTACATGCTTCACCGTGCCCTAGCTCATCTGGAGGAACCTGGCGCTTATGTGAGAATCATGTTCTTTGATTTTTCAAGCGCATTCAACACCATCCAACCCAACATACTCCAGGACAAGCTCGCAGAGATGGCAGTGGATCCTTCCTTTATCTACTGGATCACAGATTACCTGACAGGAAGGCCACAGTATGTCAGGTTGGGTAACTGTGTTTCTGGGACATTAATGAGCAGCACAGGGGCTCCACAAGGGACTGTCCTGGCTTCATTCCTGTTCACACTGTACATGGCGGACTTCAAATTCAACTCTGAGTCCTGCCACATCCAGAAATACTCGGACAACACTGCTATTGTGGCGTGTATCAGGAATGGGCAGGAGTCTGAATATAGGGACCTGATAAAAGCCTTCAGTGACTGGAGTCACAAGAACTGTCTCCTCCTGAACACCTCAAAGACCAAGGAAATGATCATAGATTTCCGCAGGTCCAAGCCCCCTCTTCAGCCAGTGAATACCTGTGGGGTGGACATTGAGGTGGTGCCAAGCTATAAGTAATCTAGGTGTACACCTGGATAATAAGTTGGACTGGTCCCTAAACACAGACTCTTTCTACAAAAAGGGGCAGAGCCGCCTCTTTTTCTTGAGGAAGCTCAGATCTCTCGACATTTGTAGTAAGATGCTGCAGATGTTTTAACAGTTTGTGGTGGCAAGTGTGTTGTTTTATGCTGCAGTCTGCTGGGGAGGAAGCATCAGACACAAAGGTGCAAGGCGGCTGGACAAACTAGTCAAAAGAGCTGGCTCTGTGATTGGAGTCAGGTTGGACACACTGGAGGAGGTGGTGGAGAGATGCACATTGAAGATGTTCGAGGCCATCATGAACAACCCAGATCATCCACTCCACAACACCTTGATGGACCAAAAAAACTGTGGTGGACGGCTCCTCTCTCTTCGATGCAGGACAGAGAGATACAGAAGATCCGATATACCAACAGCCATCAGGCTTTATAATTCTCTGACATATAATAGATGAATAAAGTTATTCTTATTCTTATTCTTAATAGAAATTTATGAGAATATTGCTGCATGAGTCCCATTGTGTGTCTCAGGTCAGTGTCTGAACCTGACTTTGTTACTATGTTTCTCTACTTTTGGCTTTTTCTACTTTGTTTTTCTTTCCCACATTGCCTTACAGATGCAATGTGTTGCTCTATCTGTCCACCAGATGACCACATTCCCCTTTGTCCTATCTGAACATTGAGTCTATAAAAATAGCCTGTGTGACTGGATGTGGATACTTGGATCCTTTGGATAGTCCATAATTGTTTTAAGTAAATGCAAAGAAGTATTGTCATTAAAATAAATGTGAGAAGTAAAAGTTCTCATTATTCAGAACATGCCTCTCTGGGTGTTATATTATAAGCTGAATTAGTTTTCATCATTTTTATGTTTTTGCAGATGTGGAGCTTGTTGTAGCTACTCACGAGTATCTGTGGCAGTGCATTAATATGTACTGCTAACTATAACTGTCAAACTGGTACATTAATACAATATTTCCCTCTTAAATGTAGTGTAGTATAATTATAAGATAACAATGAGATAGAAATAGCAATGCTTAAGGATATACTCTGCAGGATCTTTATCAAAAACAATGTATAGACTCTTACAGAAGAATGGGCCCCCCTCAGTCACCACTAAAAGTAAATGGGAGTGTGTTCATCTGCAGATATTGTGCCCACTGCCGGGATTTAATGATTTTCTTCTTATGTGTTGTGTTTGGGGCATTTTTGGGCATGTACCCTCACAGCGCTCAGGTGAGGTCGGGACAGGTGCAAAACACACAGTTAGCAGCTAGCAGATGAAAACGGGAGTATCTATCAGATAAAACGCTGCATATCTTTCTGGTAAAGACTAGTCACCTGAAATGGTTTCCACTTCACAGGTGTGCCTTATCAGGGTTAATTAGTGGAATTTCTTGCTTTATCAATGGGGTTGGGACCATCAGTTGTGTTGTGCAGAAGTCAGGTTAATACACAGCCGACAGCCCTATTGGACAACTGTTAAAATTCATATTATGGCAAGAACCAATCAGCTAACTAAAGAAAAATGAGTGGCCATCATTACTTTAAGAAATGAAGGTCAGTCAGTCCGGAAAATTGCAAAAACTTTAAATGTGTCCCCAAGTGGAGTCGCAAAAACCATCAAGCGCTACAACGAAACTGGCACACATGAGGACCGACCCAGGAAAGGAAGACCAAGAGTCACCTCTGCTTCTGAGGATAAGTTCATCCGAGTCACCAGCCTCAGAAATGGCAAGTTAACAGCAGCTCAGATCAGAGACCAGATGAATGCCACACAGAGTTCTAGCAGCAGACCCATCTCTAGAACAACTGTTAAGAGGAGACTGCACCAATCAGGCCTTCATGGTCAAATAGCTGCTAGGAAACCACTGCTAAGGAGAGGCAACAAGCAGAAGAGATTTGTTTGGGCCAAGAAACACAAGGAATGGACATTAGACCAGTGGAAATCTGTGCTTTGGTCTGATGAGTCCAAATTTGAGATCTTTGGTTCCAACCGCCGTGTCTTTGTGAGACGCAGAAAAGGTGAACGGATGGATTCCACATGCCTGGTTCCCACTGTGAAGCATGGAGGAGGAGGTGTGATGGTGTGGGGGTGTTTTGCTGGTGACACTGTTGGGGATTTATTCAAAATTGAAGGCACACTGAACCAGCATGGCTACCACAGCATCCTGCAGCGACATGCCATCCCATCCGGTTTGCGTTTAGTTGGACGATCATTTATTTTTCAACAGGACAATGACCCCAAACACACCTCCAGGCTGTGTAAGGGCTATTTGACCAAGAAGGAGAGTGATGGAGTGCTGCGGCAGATGACCTGGCCTCCACAGTCACCGGACCTGAACCCAGTCGAGATGGTTTGGGGTGAGCTGGACCGCAGAGTGAAGGCAAAGGGGCCAACAAGTGCTAAACACCTCTGGGAACTCCTTCAAGACTGTTGGAAAACCATTTCAGGTGACTACCTCTTGAAGCTCATCGAGAGAATGCCAAGATTGTGCAAAGCAGTAATCAGAGCAAAGGGTGGCTATTTTGAAGAAACTAGAATATAAAACATGTTTTCAGTTATTTCACCTTTTTTTGTTAAGTACATAACTCCACATGTGTTGATTCATAGTTTTGATGCCTTCAGTGAGAATCTACAATGTAAATAGTCATGAAAATAAAGAAAACGCATTGAATGAGAAGGTGTGTCCAAACTTTTGGCCTGTACTGTATATATATATATAGAGAGAGAGAGAGAGAAATATTAATAAACTAAGATATGTTGTTTCACCTGCTGAACTGGAAATGATTATACATGCCTTTATCTCATCTCGCACTGACTATTGTAATGCACTTTTTTCCTCACGTAGTATGTCTTCTCCTAATCATTTGCGAGCAATCCAGAATGCTGCTGCAAGGTTACTTATGAGGTCAAATAGACACTCATATTACCCCTATACTAAAATCTCTTCACTGGCTCCTGTCTCATATAGGATCCAGTTCAAAATTGTCATTCTTACTTACAGAGCACCACACAGTCAGGCTCCTGCTTATGGCTGAACGCTCTCTTAGGTCAAATATGCTAAATTTGTTGTCTGTCCCTCACACTTGCCGCAAAGACTTATGGAGCTTTTGAGGCCATGGCACCTAAATTTTGGAATGCTCTGTCTGCTTCCTTACAGTCTGCTGAGTCTTGGGAGATGATCAGTTCGATCCCCAGCTCCCCCAGTCTGCATGTCAAAGTATCCTTGAGCAAGATACTGAACCCCGAATTGCTCAGTGTGTGAGTGTCTTTAAAAGAAAAACTGAGAAGCAGGTGTCCACCAGTGTGTGAATGGGTGAATGTGACTCAAAGTGTGAGAAGTCAGTGTCTGTGAAAACACTTTATTAATACATTTTTCTGACTCTCAATAGGGTTAAATGGAAACATGACCTCAAATGACACATACCGCTTTTGATGGATGTGTACTAACTGTTCACTAAATAGCTGTGGGGTGAAGTCAGGTAATTTGGGACACTTTTTGGTAAATTACTAAGAAAAACACCTAAAACTTTAAAAACTACTTCAAGTTGTACTTTTAGACCTTGTTATGGGTTTCTGCTAATTCTAAGGAAAATATGTTGCCAAGTAAAATAATCTACAAACTTTGGACATGGAGAACCCCCACCACACTCTGATGATATGTTCAGGTAAAATGGGACAGTCATGTTTGTTTGTTTTTTAAATAATTAAACACATTTATGAGTTCAGTCAATAATCCATTTAATCAATAATGTGGCCTAACTACTTATTAAAAAGATCCTCCAGCTTTTCTGCCATGCCGACCCTGTTCTTCTGCTGTCAGAGTGACACTGAAGGATACGGGCCTACCCGTTACATCATAGTGAGAATGCATATTTATTTAATTAAGTTATCTATGATGATAACTCTAAGTGTTTATGGGTCAAACATTTTGTGTGCATTGTTCATCTTTTTGTGTTTTTCAGCCTTTTCTCTTCGCTGTAAAATACAGCCCACATTAACAAGCACATTGACCATTTTAACATCTTGATTGTTTGAACAGGACATTGTGTCCATATACTGTTTGGGTTTATTAACGAGTAATAAAAATACGGGAGGACTGAAAATAAGACTGAACGTCATGACTGTCGTAATAAATTTCCGTTAAAAAAATCTGTCTCAAGGATAAAAATACAGTAAATGTTAAATCCTTGGTTAAGTTGTATCCGACAGTCCATGAATGTAGCATGTCTCCGCGCACCATGACCCGGATGAAGTTCCGTTCAACTTTATATCCCACAAGCCCTTTCTTCAACTTCCTCTTTCTACACCGCAGCGATGTCCAAGAGAGGTACGATATCCGTCTTGTAAAATCCACATTCATCTGTTATTTTATACCCCCCGTCAGCTCTTGTAATGTTGTTTGTGTATGATAGAGTGGAGAAGATAACTTAATTACGTCAGTAGTTTTACGTGTATGCAGATATTTTACAATTTATGACCGATAGCATTTTCGCTTGCTACCTAATGGGAGCCATGTTTCGCTATCAGTGCCTTGCATGCAAGAAGCAAATAAAGGTATAGGTTGATAATGTAAGTCTGTTGTAAACTTTAGAAAGGTTAGGTAGTAAAAGAGCCAATGTGGCACCACTTACTGAATTGAAACGCGATTAAATTGGCCCCAGTAAGGTGAAGTTAGTCGGAGCTAACTGATGCTAACTCAGATAGCAACGTAAAGTTAGGTAACGTTAGTGCCGGTGTTCTGACAAATGGAGCTACCCGCTCAGAATGACCTATCAGTAGCAAAGAATCTATCAGAATGGACTACAAGTTCTATAAATGTAGGTAAAAGTAGAGCAGCTCATTCTGTCAGGTAGAAATATCTATCACAATGTGGTTAAAAGTAGAGTAGGCCATTATCTAGAGTAGGAATTATCCATCAGAATATGCTACTACCTCTATAAATGTGGTTAAAGGTATGGTTGTGTCGCCTGGTGTGGTTTTGGTATTTTTTTCGTCACATATACGCACCATGAATGAGCAGTTTATGTTAGTAGATCATTCAGAGTGGTAGCTCTATTTGTCAGAACACGGTACATTTTGGAGATAGTGAATGTTGGATAACTGCTGCTGCTAGTTGCATATAAGGTAAACACTGGAATATCCTGTTTACATGACCTGTATCAAAATAGTGATATTTGGAATTATAGTGGAGTAGTACTGTACGTTCAAGCCAACAGCGACCAGCGCTTCCAAAATGGTGGAAGTCATTCATTTTCAATGAGAGCCTGGCGATTTGGGCGACCTGATTGTCAGCCGCGCATCTTGGGCGACCAGAGCGGGTCCGGAGGGGACTTAAAACTCGTTTTACTTTGTTAATAACTTTGACGCGGTTCGGCGACAACCAGTTGGAATGCTGACGTGCTTCGATGAAGCGGGTCCCAGAGAACAAGCCATGTAACTTGTCCCTACAGCAGACTTGTTCCGACAACGGATATGAATTGATTACTTGAGTTGGCGCCCACTTAGTCCTTTTATAATGTGTCGGTGTTTGGTTACAGAGACCCAAATAAAAAGAATGAGGCTTGGGACTGCATCGTGGAGGTAGTTGGTAGGTCTGGTGAGTTTAAGTGTGTAATGTTAGTAATGATAGAGGAGAGAATTGCAGGCTAATGTTGCGATGTAGCATGCAAGTCTTCCTTGCTTGGTTTGAATGGGATGACATACTGCATAGCATTTTATAAACACAACTATGAGCTTTTTGACTGGACAACAGCAAGCAGCAACTACGCTGCTTTCAAGCCAGTAGTCCGCTTTGTGGCTCCTTTAAATTGACAAGCACGATCAAACGTTCAGTGATTCACTTGATAAGCGACTCGAGAGACCAAAGCTGCCACAAATATCTTTGACAGTCGTGCTTCTTTGCGTCTGCGAGAAACTTTGCCTCTTTGGAAGCTTCTGATTTGAAGGTACAGTTAGAGAGCATGTAAACATTGCCAATGTATGCAAATACCCTTGGTCCTGTCGGTACAGGCCAAAAACTGCTAAGCTGTCATAGCCTAATAAATAGTAGTAGTGGGGCTGCTCCATTTCAGTATGCCAGTGCAGGGCATCCACCAATCGAAAAATCAGCGGTTCGATCCCCAGCTCCTCCAGTCTGCATGTCTAAGTATCCTTGAGCAAGATGCTGAACCCCAGATTGCTTGTGTTAAAAACTGAGTAGTAGGTGGCACCTGATATGGTAGCCTCGGCCACCAGTGTATGAGTGTGTGTGTGGGTGGGTGAATGTGAGTCGTGGTGTAAAAAGTGCTGTGAGTGGTCGGATGACTAGAAAGGTGCTATACAAATGCAGGTCCATTTACCATGATTCTAAATGTTTTTATATGTATGACTGAACGACATTCAGAACGTCTGTCTCATCAGTCTCCCTTGATTTGTTTGTATTTGAATGAACGATGTGGTCATGGTGTCGTATACATCGCTCACTCCGCTCAAATTTAGCAGTGGATCCAGCGTATCTGTCGGCTACGATACCCGTCAAATGGTGTGCAGACTCCACGTACTCTGCGCACTGCAGGCATATGCTGGCGTGGTAATGGTGCAGACCCAGTGATTTAGGAAACAGGTCTACTGTAACCAGCTACCAATATTATCACAAGCAAACCATGCATCTTCAAATTTGCTGTTTTTTATTGTTTTAGTCCCTTCTCAGACTGAGAAAAGCCCAGTGTTTCATAGCTCATAGAAAGTTTTTGTACTTGATTTTGACATGGCAACAATGGTATGGTAAAGTCTGATATATTGTAAATGTGTTTGTAACTGCCGCACTTGTTCACCCCTGGGTGTTTGGGGCTGCCATATGTGGTGTTAGCTGCTTTGGGGCTGGATCAGGTGCTTGACTAAAACAAAACAAATAATAAAAGTAAGCAATCACTTTAATCTGTCACCAGAAGTAGAATTTACGCTGTCTGTGAAAAAGCAATTAAAATGTAAATGTCAGTAGACGGATAAGAAAACCACTTAAACTGGATAATAAATGAAGAGATAAGCAAATTGTAGAACAGCATGATCTCCGATTCTCTCTGAAGTAAACCAGAGACTTGTTTTGAAAGTTGTGCAAGCTGATTTTTTTTTTTCCCCCAACTGTGTATTCCTGTCTTCTTACAGGACGTGGAGGTTCATCTGGAGCCAAGTTCCGCATCTCACTGGGTCTCCCAGTGGGAGCGGTCATCAACTGCGCTGACAACACAGGTACGTGTCACCTAACCTATTGTCATGGCTTAAATATGCAATATGTTAGGAAATTGTGCAGTACTCCTCCAACCTAAATATGGAGTCACACTTTGATTTAATCCGCATGGATGCTCTGAAAATCAAAGTTATTACAGGTACTAACGTGATTTAGCCCCTGTAATCACTACAGATAAAGCTGGAGTTTGTGTTGTGTGTACATTATATGGTACATTTGCAGGCAGTTGTCTTTATTAGTGGTTTGGATTAATGATGGCACACTGTAAGAATGGTGTTGTCAGCCAGTCCCCCCCCCCCCCCCCCCCCCCCCCCCCCCCCCCCCCCCCCCNCCCCCCCCCCCCCCCCCCCCCCCCTTCCAAAAGCACTTGTTTTGTCTGTTCAGTGGCTGGATGAGTTGTCGTAGAAGGGAATATGAACCTCATCACTTTGGGTGAGATGGCAGCTTCACGCTGTGGCTGACTGATCTCAATCAGTGATGAGACAAGGTGGCACAGTGCTGTAGCCCCAATGTCATTTCCAAAACCACATGAACAGATCTACTACAATGCTCTTTTGGAACTCTTTTCACCATTTCTTTGTTTTTCTCCTCTTCTCTCACTTTTTGTGTTCTCCCTCCATCCTTTTAGGTGCAAAGAATCTGTACATCATCTCTGTGAAGGGCATCAAGGGACGTCTGAACCGTCTGCCTGCTGCAGGAGTGGGTGACATGGTCATGGCCACAGTCAAGAAAGGCAAGCCTGAGCTCAGGAAGAAGGGTGAGTGGAAACAACCAATCTGCATACGAGTTACTGTAGTGTTAGGATTAAGAGGTTCAGATAGTAAACCTCTAAGTGGTTCACTTAAGAGTTAGTTTGGGTGCATGCTGAGGACAGTAAATGGCACTACATGAAAACTGGTTTGAAATGCACAGGTGAAGTAACACTTTTCCATCTGTGGATGCAAACTTTGAGTCAACCCCCTGTATGACATATGTCCAGGAAGGCAACAGGTCCCTCTTCACGAAAGTTGATGGGATGTTTGCTCCTTTTCCTCCTCGTTATTGACCGACATGTCCCAATCAGAGTGCTGAGTTAATTATTTTACACACATTCTAATGCAGCACAGTAGTGTTTTCCATGCTTGGTATTTACAACAAGCATCCTGCAGTGTAACAGATGAGCACAACTGTTGAAAACATAAATGTTGTATAGCAATGAAGGAAAAGTAGCACCTGAAAGGAGCACTGAAATAATCCGGTACTACTCCATTGCATAAATGTATTGATATTTAGGTGTCAGTTTGGTTTTTAACACCATATGATCTGAGTGTGAGGAAGTCCAGAGTCACAAGCTGTCAGAATAAGGTCCCAATCACACACAAAGCATTTTGCAAAAACACCAGACAAATTGAATGCCACTAGTAAAAAACAAAACAAAAAAAAACAAACAAAAAAAAAAACACTTGTTGCAGTTTATTGTTGCCAGGCTACCACCCCTTCACCTCCTTACCCTAACCTGCCTATGGAATTAATCTACTGTTTATTTATTTCACAGTAATAAGCTCCTAAAATGGACAGGCAGAGGATACTTGCTGTAACTCTGGTTAAGGGTGAGAGGCTGTCAGCAAATAGTTTTAGGCACAGGGAACCGGAAATCGGTGTGGGTACACGAGACCCCAAAAAAGGGGCTGGATCAAGGAGATTACCACTGGTTTGTCCAGGAGCTTCACCACCATGATTGCCATTTCAAGTACTGCAGTTGAGATGGTTGTAACTGTGGGTTGTAAAGTCGTATAGCTCTGGGTATCCAGCAACCACTACTATCAGTAAACTTGTTGTCGTGACTACCACAGATGGCCTGCCTCTCAAATCCTTTCATTGGACAATGGGGAAAAAACTGGAGAGTGTGTGGCACTTTTCCGCACTGAGTTGAGTTTTTTTTTTTTTTTTTTTTTTCAACTTGAGTTTGGAGTGCTCCGGTAAAAAGGCCAAAGCTTCCTAGTACAAAGAATTACTCCTAGTTAGGGATGTCCCGATCCAGCTTTTTCACTTCCGATACGATATTACAGCCTTGAGTTTTGGCTGATACCGATCCGATCCAAGCACGTATTATACATATTCACTTATTTTGTTGTCAGTCATGTTAGAAAAGGTTTGATCAAGCAAAGAACAACTACTTAATCAGGTTAGTTAGAATGATCCACAACAGTTGGTATGAGAAACTGACCTGTTTATTGGTAACAGGGTTAAATAAACAAACTTTAAACTTGAACATTAACATTAAATAAAAAATATAGCTGGTTTGCTTTGGCTGCTTTGGCCCCTTAATAAATAAAAAATGAATCAACACAAGAAATCTTTAAAATGTCTAACAATGAAATTAAAATAGCAGCAAGACTCCGCACACTTGTGCTTTGGCCCCCTAATAAATAAAAAAAAAGATTAACACCACAAGACATTGTTGGCATTTAACAAACAATGCAGCCTTTCCTTTTCAGTTATTTTAGTAGTGTTTTTGTAGTCCATCCATGGCTCCAATTTCACTAATTGTGCCTAAAACAATGCCATCAGTGCTCTTAACTTAAACAGTAAGAGTGTAAACCAAATAAAAATATCACTCTCAAAAAACCAGAGCAGAAAACAAATAGTCAGTTAACTAAATCGACCGCTACTCTTCCTACCCTTCCCTCCGTGTGTATCTGCCGTCTGCATGCTGGCCTGGTGGATTGATAGTAAGAGCTGGAGCGGATCACTGGAATGGACTGCTTGAATCGCGGAGCGCTGGGCTGGCCAGAAAACCTGGCACGGATTCGGTGAAAAACTGGATCGGAGTTCATGGATCGGCATTCTTCCATGCAGTCCGATCTGATCCCGATGCCCGTTTTTTGCTAATTTCGGCGGCCAATACGATCCTAATATCGGATCGGGACATCCCTACTTCTAGTGACGGAATTCTAAGAAAATTCTCAGAATTGTCGTGTTTTATTAGAATTTTCCCTTAAAGTAGAAGTTATTCAGAGCATCCTAGACCTTAGAAGAACGAATTTGAAAAACTGTTTGGATTAGGGAGGACTTTTAAGAGGCTTAAGAGTTTCTCAATCAGTGGAGAAAATGTTGGAAACAGAGGTCTGAGAAATATTCTCCAAACGCTGGATGACAGTGACTTCATGAAATGCTACAGTGTAGATTGTGTGGGGATAATGTGTGGTCGATATCATTAGGGATACACACACATTTCCCACCTTGCGCTATAACACCAAAAATAAAAAGATCACAACACTAAGAAATTTGGAAAACTGGAAAAATGCAACAGTGCAGAAGTGATGACTTGAGTCTGTCTCAACCTTCCGTCAGCAGTGATCACACTGACACTGACAACACTTTCACAGTCAGCAGTTCATTTCATTTCCACTTGAGGCCCGTTTCCACTGAAATGGGCAGGAACTACTACAGGAATGTCCTCTCGCTCGGCCATCTCAACCGCCGTGTCTTCATTGAGAGAGCGGAGTAGGAGGAAGGTTCCTGTAAAGTTACCGGGCTCTGTATGTGACGTAATTGTTGCGCGACCATTTTGATCGGGGCGACGTAGGGACGCCATTGGCCGTTAGCGGTGTCTGTAATAACTCTGGTCACAGTCCATGAAAATTTTTTTTTTCCAGCGGATGTCTTAGTTACAACATGATAGAGCAAACTGGAGTAGTTTCATGTCGTATCCGACAACGGGAGGCTTTTAACAGATGATGTCCTGATGTTAGCTTTGCTGCTAGTGTTAGCTGTCCCTGTCAGCTGCAGCCACTGATGCTTTCTAGACATCATGATTTCCCAAAACTGAATAAATACCACACATAGCAACACAAAACTGCTTTGCTAGCTCAATCATATTGTAACTAAGATATCTGCTGGAAGATATTTTTTTCACGGACCGTTTAATGAGTTATTACCTATTACAGACACTGCTAACGGCTAACAGGGCTAACAGCTAACGGTTAGCCCAGTTAAACGGATGAGTCATGACCTTGTAAAAGATTGTTTGTTTCTTTTAGTTGGTGAGAATGTGTCGCCGCAAACGTGACAAACATCCACTAACTTTGATGGCGTTTTCTGCGAGCGCGGCTGAGCCATTTTGTACCGCTACACGTGTTTCTAGTGGGACTATGATTACAAGCACAAGAGTTCTGAAATTGTATCCGCCCATCTAAACACAAAATCAGGGAGAAAGTCATCAGTCTTTAGTTAAGCAAAGCGTCTAAAGACTGACTTGTGAGTCTACAAGCGCACATACTGTGGTCTGCCAGTCAAGTAGTCTACAATCCAGGACACCAGGGGGGCATCCACCTGCACTGCTGTCAGCTTGTCACCCAGTAGAGCTGGACGGATGGTGTTGAACGCACTAGAGAAGTCAAAAAACATGACCCTCACAGTGCTCGCCGGCTTGTCCAGGTGGGCGTAGACGCAGTTGAGCAGGTAGATGATGGCGTCCTCAACTCCAAGTCGGGGCTGATAGGCGAACTGGAGGGGGTCCAAAAGTGGCTTGACCATGGGCCGGAGCTGCTCCAAGACGAGTCTCTCCAGAGTCTTCATGATGTGGGAGGTCAATGCCACGGGTCTGTAGTCCTTGGAGCCACTGGGATGCGACGTCTTTGGCACAGGAACGAGGCAGGATGTCTTCCACAGCATGGGGACCCTAACTGACCCTTTAAAAGCTTTACATAACTCTAACTTTGAAGGCTTGCAACTGTCTTGCTTCTTGTAGTTCAATACTACCAGTACAATATTTACTGCTAGTGAGTTGTACATGCAACAGTCTGCATACAGTATGCAATTCACTATTTCCAAGATTAAAAGCTGCCATAAAAAATGTGCTAAAGGCCATCTTTTACAGTCTAAATGTAATTTTTATTGTAAAATCCCAAAATGGAAAATTCTCAACATGAATGAAAAACTTAAATGTACATTAACTTTTCAGTCAAAATAAATTAAGATCATCTCAAAATAATGAAAACAGCAGATTTTTGATAAGTCTGTATCTATAGATGTCATTTAACGGCCACATTTCAATCTAAATGAAAGCATCTCACTGGATTATTTTAGTATTGCCTGTAACTTTAATACAGGCTGAGTTAGGCTACTTAATGTTTCCAACTCGTCAAACTTTGTATGACAAGACCAGCGTACTTCACCTTGCGCACCCAGACAACTGTAGCCTAATTATGCATGGGTGACAGGGCCGTAGTCACCATATACACATATACAAAATACTGGCAATCATGTCCGCCTGGCACAAACCACATGTTTTGGACGACTGAAGTGACAGAATGTCCCACCATCATGGTTCTTATATTGCCAGATTCCAGAGAGTCTCCCCTCTTCATATATGGCAGAATATGTCAACTTCCAACTTGCTATGGTGAGATACATGTAAAAATGTAAGAATTTAGTAACACGGATTTGTTTGTTTTTTTCATTGATATAAAAATTAATATAAAATACAGGCACATAGGACATGAAATGATGGCTGGTTAGCCCAGATTGTCCTGAAAAAAACGATATAGCATGTGTATGTAGCCTTTATAATGACTGTGATGAGCTGCCTGAAAGTAAAGGCAGTAAAAACACCCCAAAAACGCCTAGGGCCCATAGGGTTAAGCTAACAGGTTAATTTCTACCACTCACAGACTATAGGCTACCCACCTTTCTTGGAGAAAAACTGACTCACATATTGACACCCTTTCTTTTGCCTCTCCTCTCTCTCTTTGCTTTTTTGAAAACCGGACTTTCTTTTAGTACTAGGTGGCATGATGACAACTGCTGACTGCTACTAGGCACCGTCACTGTCAGTGCACTAAGACAGGACCAAACCATTGTATGCAGATATAGGGGGGTGGTCAGTCAATATGGATGTTTACTTTTTTAGTCAGTGGGGATATTTAACTTTTACTGCCAAAAACAAGTAAAAACAAAGATCATTAATTGTATTATATTTGGAAAAATACATTTTTAATAAAAATTTGATGGTTTAATCATTTTATATAAATTTTTACCTATTTATGGGGCTCCTGTCAGTCAGGGGCCCTTGGAATTGTCCTAACTCCCCCCCCCCTACACGGCGCCACTGCCTAGAGCGCAGAAACATGAGGCGCGTAGCAAAACAGCAAGTAAAAACCTTGAGTCGCATTAAAATCAATTACAAAAAGTTGCCTTCAACTGGCATAAGGGTGGGAACTGAAAGTAACACTCAATGGGATACTATCACCATATATTGCATGATAACAATGGTATCATGATATTGCAGTGCTGCCATACTTGCCACATTGCAATACAATCCATGTTACATCAAGATCTGTGTAACAATAGGAGAAGCAATATGGCTAAAAAGGAAAATTAAATCAGATGTGGTATTTACTGCATTGTGGGTTCAGTTTCACAGAATTTGACAACTGAGATGAGAAAATGTACAAGAAAGTGCAGTCTTAGCTTAGTGGCTTTTAAACATAGGGCTTCGAAACTCAATCAGTAGTCAATATTAAGATCACAATTTAACATGATCACTCATTCGTTAAGTAAACTTAAACCTTGACAATGGATTTTCTTGAACTTATATATGTATTTCATCTGTAGGGGGCCCACTCTCCATAATTCTTGACAGTTGAGCTACTGGACTACTGAAATTAAAACAACAAAATGTTTAATTCCTATACTGTGACTTGCAGAGCATGCACAAAAGAGTAAGTAAAATGCACATGTGAAGGCACATTGTAGTGCTGCTCAAACACTTTGACTGCACCAGAGCAGTGAATAACTCAAACTGCAACACACTAACATTCCAGTAGTTTGGTTCCCACTCTCATTATGGATGTTTCCATAGTATAATCTGTGGATTAAAGTGAAATCCTTGAATCTACTGCCAGTCTCTGTTGCACTAACCATTTGTGTAATTTCCAGCCAAGTCAAAGCAATGGTGTGTTACGTGGCTATGTATTAATTTGAATGAATCCCATTACCTCTGTCCACAGTGCATCCTGCAGTGGTGATACGGCAGCGCAAGTCATATCGGCGAAAAGATGGTGTGTTTCTGTACTTTGAAGACAATGCAGGTGTCATAGTAAACAACAAAGGAGAAATGAAAGGTGGGTTTGGATGCTACAACATGCTCATTTGTTGCCTGCTGTGCTCATAGTACAGGGTTATTTACACAAGAACAAATGACCAGAAAAAAAACAAATGCTCAGAATTGAGACCATCTTAATGGACTTAGGGCATTTTAGATTGTTAAGATTAATGTAGTTTTCAGGGATTATAATTTGCATATAGTGTTAGTGTGGACCAGGGGTCATCATCTACATTGGTTTTTCTATCCCATTGGATTGGCAGATACTATGACATTTATGATATACTAACACTTAACAAAAATTAACAGTAGACAACGATATTGCCTACATCACTTTTATAACATTCTAGTTATCCACTTAATACATTTGAAGAAAATAAAAATGGGGGGGGGCATTTTGAGCATATTTTGGTCACTTTACTGCCTTGTTTGACAGTGATATGGGTGGTCACGTTTCTAAAGATTTTACCCCCTAAGTAGTTTTTCCTGCTGAAATGTAGAGTCCCACAGTATTTTGTAGATGTGTGTTGAGTAAGACCATCAGGTCATTTCATCACTGTAGTAACAAACTTGTCATTGTTCTCTTATAGTGGTGATAGAGGTACTAGGTTAACAGGAAGACATTTCCCCTTCCAAAAGCACTTGCTTTGTCTGTTCAGTGGCTGGGTGAGTTGTCGTAGAAGGGAATATGAACCTCGTCACTGTGGGTGAGATGGCAGCTTCACACTGTGGCTGACTGATCTCAGTCAGTGATGAGACAGCTTTAACCTGCTCAATACAAGCAAAGTCTTGGAAACCAACGTGATGGAAGTGTGTTTTTGCTCAGATTTGTATTCATATTTTTACGTGTTGCGTTTGACTGACCAAAGTGCATTTATTTGTGTAACATCTAAGGATGTGTGGCTATACCCCTAAAACAAAATAAATATCTAATGCATTCAATAATAAAGTTAGCTACTTGAACCACATTTGACATGTTTCCCTCTTTCTGTTAATGTTATGTTAATGGTTTTAAGTGCAGCAGGCAGTTGTCCTTCCATTTCCCACATGTAATGAAATGAAGCATGTTGGAATCAAATTAACTACTTCCCTACTCTGTATGTGCAGGTTCAGCCATCACAGGCCCAGTGGCCAAAGAGTGTGCAGACCTTTGGCCCAGGATTGCCTCCAACGCTGGCAGCATAGCCTGAACTGGACCCTGCAACTCATGTTCATTTTCAATAAAAACTTGGTGATCCAGCCTCATGTCATGGTGTTTTCACTTAACCTTCATGTAGACGAAACTATATTTTGATAAAGAGAATGTAGCTAAAATTATGAATTATAAGCTGCTGTTTATGCATAGGTGTGATGCTGTCATGGGAGGTAATTCCTGCAAGTCATGGATATTTGGACAAATGACCTGGAGGCAGATTTGCAGTGTAAAAGTGCAACCTCAACTGTTGCACTCGGTACAAGTTCTGATATACCATTATTCTTGAAGGTTGATTTACACACACCTCAGTTTCACAGCTGTAGAAATATGGCTTGAGGTTCAGGCATATATCTTTATAGTTGGTGCAATTTTTTTTCTTGATGTACACCAAATGAAAATTTAAAAATCAATCAATTTTATTTATAAAGCCCAATATCACAAATCACAATTTGCCTCACAGGGCTTTACAGCATACGACATCCCTCTGTCCTTATGACCCTCGCAGCGGATAAGGAAAAACTCCCCCAAAAAAACCCTTTAACGGGGAAAAAAAAACGGTAGAAACCTCAGGAAGAGCAACTGAGGAGGGATCCCTCTTCCAGGACAGACAGACGTGCAATAGATGTCGTACAGAACAGATCAGCATAATAAATTAACAGTAATCCG